ATTGTCCATGGACGGCATTATTGGTGGGAGAGCCATGCTGCAACTATATTAATAGTATAAATGTAGCACGAATGGGTCGTCTCGACCGGGGAAGGACCACTTTCTCACAGAATACCATCGTAAAATAGCAGCTTAATGCTGCTGTGTTTCGTATGGTGAGTGTAGAGAACCTGAGACCCATTTTACTGGAAAAGAGGCATTTTATCTTAGTCCTCACGGCTGACAACGCATCTGCCTTTTGAATTCGCAAACGAAGATACATGTAGATGTTTATGGGCTACAACAACGTATTAAGATCACACCTAAAAATTAGCCTTCCTGCATCAGGACTGTAAGTTTGTTAGTCACTTTAGTTTTATGACAAAAAAAAACAGAGGCAGTCATGAGGACTGCCGACAAAAGTGAAATCTCAATGATATGCCCATATACATGTACAAAGGCCACTATACTACGTGTCACGCAGGCGCAAGCCAAACAAGCAACACGTAGTACGCATACAATACGCAATTGTCACGAGCATGTCGAGGTCATTGGTGACGCGAACCGTTAAGTTTTTTCCCTACTAAAAATCGCTCATCGGTCATCGCGGCTAAAGAAGTTTTCCTTTCAAAAATATTTTGCAGTGACATCATGCTGTTGCCCATTAATGTTGTGAGAGGCAACAGAGGGAAACAATTTCAATTTTCTCAGGAGAAGGGCAGCAGCATCTTACTGATAACTACTGAAAATAATAAAAAGTTTTTAATTCGACTTTACATAAAGTATTGCTTTTTCTTACATTGCTAAAATGTCTCAACATTCTAAACTATTTATTTTAATACAGCTTGTTTCTTGTAACATTTTTATAATTAAAGTAACAGCCTATATACGTCCCACTGCTGGGCAAAGACCTCTTCTCATTTCTGAGAGGATTTTTGGGCAAGGTAATGTCCGCCGCGCTGTCCCAATGCGTGTTGGTGAACTGCACATGTTTTCGATTTTTTTTATTATTTCTCAAACATGCAGATTTCCTCGCGATGTTTCCTTCACCACCGAGTACGTGGTATATCAGTAATTGAAATTGCAATTCACAATTTTTTTGGTACCGGCCAGGATCGCACCCAGATTGCCCGCGTACTGTGAAATTTACAGCGAGCGCTAACCATCTGAGCTACTATGGCTCTATTTTTATAATTAGCATATATTTAGTTATCTTTCAGTTCCCACGAATATTTAGCTTCTCATTACGTTAACGAACTCTTACAACTTTAACAGTTTCAAACAACCGTTAATAAATTCTAAGGAAAAGTTTACTACAACGTATTTTTAATGAAGAAAAAATCTTAATTATCATTCATTAATTTTTAATTAAAAAATACTTAAGTTTTCATAGCAGGTTGTTAGGTTACTTCTACCTAAAATTATAAAATGTTACATAAAATAATTGTTACAGCCCACATATATCACATCTTACATGGTGGAGCTATGCTGCAGCTATATTAGTAGTAAAGCACGAACGTGTCGGCTCGACCGGGGAAGGACCACGCTCTCATAGGATACCAGCGTAAAATAGCAGTGTAACGCTGCTGTATTTCGTATAATGAGTGCAGACCGGAGACTCTTTTTACAGGAAACAAGGCATTCCATCTTAGTCCTCACGGTTGAAAACGCATTTGCATTTCGATTCATAATCGAGGATAGTTGTAGATGTCTATGGGACCCAGCAACCACATACCAGCAGGTGGACTGTGTGCTCGTTTGTCACTCTTATCCTATAAAGAAAGAATAGTTATATTCACCGCCCAGCTTATTTTTACATAATAAATATTATTTGCAAAATAATATTATTTACAAAAAATTATCCATTTTAAAATGTTTAAATATTCGAAATGTCTTTTGTAAGTAACCTTAAAATATACCTTAAACTTAGTATGCAAAATAAATGGAAAAATTAAGCTTCTGTGGCCTTAGAACCTCAAAGCTACGCGTCGCGCAAATTATTGCTATTGTTTACTCTTAAACACGCACCGTGTTGAGAGAAATTTCCGCCAATTTTGTTTTCAATTTTTTTGTATTATAATTCTTTGATTATTCATCCATATTTGAAGTTAAGATATTAGTCCATTTTACCAAAAATTATGTAAGTAATATAATATATATATATATATATATATATATATATATATATATATATATATATTATGTCTTTCTTTGTTTTTTTTTTAATTAAAAAACGTTAGTACGCTTTATATATATAATAATACTTACCTAGAGACTAAAACGAGGTGATGGATTTGGTTACGTCGCCACCACTGAGTGTAGGTGTTATAAGGGGCAACTATTGGAAGCTTCAGAAATATCTCATGGTTTCCGTTAGATAGCGATATAATCATCTTGTTTACATCAAGCGTGATATAGCAAGATCCGTGACGGGCAGCAGCTACAAAGGTGAGAGACGTCTGGTACAGCCGGCTAAGCATGTCGTCGATTAAAGTTATCCTCCCTTTACCGCGGCCCACGTCCAGCTGTGGATATTCACGGGCATCTGCTGACTAGAAATAAGAAAGTCTTAAATACAATTATTTCATAGATTTTAAGTTTGTTTATAGCTTTCGTGTTTTTAATAATTAGAATTTTTTATGTGGTTAGAGTCAAGCTGCAGCTATGTTGTAATTGTAGCACGAATGAGTCGCACGGGAGAAGGACCACGCTCTCATAGCATGCAGCCTAAAGAATTTGATTATTATTAATGTACTAATCAAATTAAACGTCAAAAATTTGTTCTCTTGTTACTTTGTAATCAAATACGTATTAAGTATATTACATCTCATATAATACTTATATATGCGTATGTGTATAAACACATCTTATAAGGATATTTTTAATGACATTTTAAAATATTTTTAATATCAAATTGTTAGTCATCTATTTTATTCCAGATAGATTCCAAATTTAAATAAAAGAAAATAGAAAATGTTTTAGCGGTTAAAATTTAGTTGATCTAGATTTCTAGAGGGAGCAAACTTTGTACTCAGAGTAATTGTATTTTTTTTTTCACTGAAAACTGCTATTTAAACATCTTTTTAATTCAAATTGTATTGATTGTGAAAATTTCATATTTTATTGTAATGCAAATTGCTGCGAGAAGCAATCAAGTCCAAAGGCTACAGTCTGAACACCAGAAACTTTTTATGCATCTCAGTAGGACCTATATATAGTGTAGTAGGATAATACAGTTTTTATACTTGCGTTTTTATTCTCTGCAAAAAATCTTGGACATGTATATATGTCTTAAAAAATATTGACATGCTCCTTGGAATTCATGATGTGTTGTTAGAATATCCCTACAACATAGAATATACTGGCGTAATATATTCTAAGTGTATGCCCTACACCTTGTTGATGTGTATATTTTTTTTCTCGGGTGCATGCGTATACCTGCGTGTGTGCGTGCGTGTACGTGAATGGCAACAGATGCCAAAGCGAAATGAGGAATGGAGATTGTGATGTCCACTAATTTAAGTATAGGGTTTAGCAAAACAACCAACTATCAGTAAGTAGGTACACAGCACAAGACAACGTCCACTCGCTACCGATGACAGATCGGCAATGCGAGTGTGGCGCCACCGTTGGTCTGTGTACTACATTTAATTATACATATATCACATCTCTTCCTTTTTATATATTAATTAATTTTATTACTACAATAAACAAACAGAACAATGTTTTATAATTTAATCAATTATCAATCTGAACTTCTTTATCCTGATCAACCACTTTCCATTGACCTTCCACTTTCTTAAGGTGTACGATATTCCTCCTGTACTCCTGACCAGTTTCATCATTTTTTATGTTTATGTCACTGCCTTCGAAGCTAATAACAGTATGGGGGGTTGGGTTAAATTCTGAAACTAATATATTTTCTTTTATCAAGTTCTTCACTTGTTCATTTATCAAGTTCTTCAATTGATAAGGGCGTGCTTCGGTGGTTTGGGCACGTTGAGCGAATGAGTGAAGACCGAATGGTGAAGAAAATATATAGCGCGAAAGTTAATATTAAAAGCTGTCGAGGTAGACCGAGACTAACTTTCGAAGACCATGTGAGCAAATTGCTCGAAGAGGGTAGGGTCAAGAGTACTCGGATACCTAGACGTGCATGTATGAAGAAGATAATGAATCTGAAAGAAGCGAAAGAGGTATGTAAGGATCGTGACACTTGGCGATCTGTTCTCTCTGGCTACCCCGTCAGGGATTGTGCGTGAAGATAAGTAAGTAAGTTCACGTACACTTTATCTCCTATTTCTAATTCCCTATCAACAGCTCTTCTTTTCCTGTCTTCGTTTAATTTGCTTTTATCTTTTCTTTCTATGTCTCGGTCTCTTATTTCTAGATCATCATAACTATTTTCGAGGTCCGTTAAAAAAGGTAGTTTGTCTCTAAATTGTCTTCCATAGAACAGCTCGGATGGAGACTTTCCTGTGGAAGGATGAGGAGTACTAACAGTACTCCTCATTAAAATAAAAAAAATCCTCTCTTAAAATACATACATCATTAGGTATTTTAACAAATCATCTTTCCAGTCTGATTTTTAGCACTGACTTATTCGCAGTCGTTTAAGGATATCCCTGTTTTGCCTCTCTACTTCACCATTTTGCTGAGGCCAGTAAGGGATCGTATTAAAAAGCGTTATTCCTTGTTCAGTACAAAATGTTTTGAATTCCTGACTACAGAATTGTCTACCATTATCGGCTGTTATACTAGCAGGATTTCCGGCTCGTGAAAAAATTTTTTTCAATACTTTTATTGTGTCTTGTGTTGAAATAGATTTCATGATTTCGACCTCTTTATACCGACTGTAATAGTCAATAATCACTAAAAGATGTTCTCCTCTTGGCAGTGGACCCAAAAAATCAACGGCTGTATCCACCCAGGCTTTTGAAGGGAGTTCACGCCTTTTCATAGGTACTGATGGATTGGGTGCCGAGACTAAAGTACACCCTCTGCAGCTTTTCACGGTATTTTCAGAGTCTTTGTCTATTTTTGGCCAAAACTTTTGTGCGCAGCCTAGCTTTCATATTGACTATACTTGAATGACCTTCATGGGCCGCTGCTAACACTTGTTTCCTCAACTTAGTAGGAATCACCATTTTGTTTCCTCTCAACAAGACGCCATCGTGTAACCAGAGTTCATGTTGAAATAATTTATAATTATTTATTGAAGCATCCCAAGCATTGTTCATCAAAGCATCTTTTACTAATTTAAACTCATCGTCATTTGATGCTTCAATAATCGATTTAAGAGATAATGCTATGGGTCGCGCGAGTTGAACAATCTGGTTAACATGATGTTCGTCTTCAAAAGAACTGTTTTGAATGCTGGTCGTACATAAACGTGATAATGGGTCTGCTATGTGGGATTTTCCGGGCTTATAAATAACTTTATAATCATATGCTTGTAACCGAAGGACCCAGCGCTCGATTCGTGCACAAGGCTTTGATCGCGTACCAAATATAACCTCCAGAGGTTTATGGTCTGTGATAAGCTCAAACTTTTTCCCGTATAAGTACATGTGGAAGTGTTCAATTGCCCACACTAAAGCCAATGCCTCCTTTTCGGTCTGACAGTATCGTTTCTCAATGTCTGTCAGGCTCTTGTTTCCGAAGGCAATGATGCGGGGTCCATTGTCATCATACTGAATCAGTACAGCGCCCAAACCTACCGGACTAGCATCAGTGATTGCTTGGGTATGATCATTTGGATCATAGTAGCCAAGAGTAGGAATCTTGGAGAGACAATTTTTTAATTCGTCAAAAGCCGTTGAATGTTCTTTTTTCCAAAAAGTTATGATATTAGCATTTTTGTGCATTTTTTTTTCGAAGCAATTGCCGAATGGGTTCCGTTAAGGTTGACAAATTGGAGATCCACTTTTCTACAAAGTTGATTAAGCCCAGAAAACTTTGAATTTCTTCGATGGTTTCCGGTGGTCTAAATTTCTCGATTGCTTTTATATATTTGTCAAGTGGTTTAATACCTGATAGCGAAAGCTCGTGGCCCAGAAACTGAATAGACTTTGCATTAAAAATACATTTATTTTTATTCAGTAAAACATTATTGTCTTTGAGTACTGTTAAAACATGTTGAAGCCTGGTATCATGTTCTTTTTTATCAAGTCCAAAGACATAATTAATAGAATCAGGCGTTACTTTGCGGAAATCCATTATATAAAAGCTTTTACAAAAATTTTTACTTCGCAAATATCCGCGTTATAAAATAAAATGATGTGTCTTACCTAGTATGAAGAAGCACCTCCCGCCCTCCCTCAATTGCGTGCAGAATCCCCGTCACCACTAATCCCAGCACCGCTACTCCCAACACCACTACACTAGGCAAGACACACCATTGACGATAATACGACACGTGTTTCGCCTCTACACGAGGCATCCTCAGGTGATATAGACTCTACGGTGGCTAACCGCTAAGTGAGCGGCGAGCCAAAACAAGTGCCTTTTATACAAATTGATGATGCAACAGCTCCCTACCTAAGGAGCGAGCGACTGCGTCATGCGATAAAACATGCGACCAATCACCGCTGGACTTACGCGGCCGTTTGTAAATTTAAAAACAAACCGCCGCGCAACGCCCACATTGTTAGAGAGCAGGCTTGAAGATATTTAAGAGAGGTGAGTTAGTAACATTTGTTTGTTCATTCAGCAATGCAACGGTATTATTATTACTTTTTAATATCTCTAACTGTTCCAGCACACATAGTCGCAGCCCTTTATTACACGTATGTAAGACTTTAAAGGAGTGGTCGTTGGCTAGGTTGTGTCCAGTGTCCAAAAGATGTTTGGCAAAATGCAATCCCGATAAATCCCATTTTGAGGGAGGGCGGGAGGTGCTTCTTCATACTAGGTAAGACACATCATTTTATTTTATAACGCGGATATTTGCGAAGTAAATTTTTGTAAAAGCTTTTATAAGTCCAAAGACAACAATATCATCTATGAAGTTTACCACTCCTTCGCATGGCAATAACATTTTCTCCATAATCTTTTGGAAATGTTCAGGTGCGCAAGATATCCCGAACATTAACCTTTTGTACCGGTAAAGCCCTTTACTAGTGATAAAAGTTGTGATATTTCTGCTATTTTTATCTAGTTCAACCTGATGAAAAGCATTCTTAATATCCAACTTTGAAAAATATGTTGCTTTGCAAAATTTGGGAATAAGTTGTTCCATGTTAGGCAAGGGATGATTTTCTCTAATAATTGCTTTGTTAGCAGCACGCATATCCAAAGAATTTCGAATATCATCATCAGACTTTAGAATCGGTACCATCGGAGAACCCCAAGAAGATGGGTTATTTACAGGTTCAATGATGTCCATTTTAACCAGTTCGTCTATTTTCTTATTTATCCTTAATTCCAAAGGAATTGGGACTCGTCTATAATGTTGACAAACTGGAGGAACAGTTTTGTCAATAGTGATGTTTAATTGAACATCTTTGAACTTGGGAAATTGTTTTTCCTCAATGGAATTCACGACAAAGCCTAGTTTTAGCACATCAAGGGAAATGGCGGTTTCTTTACCCAAAAGATTCCTTGAACCATTTTCTATGACATAAAATTTTGTTAATAATGATTTAGGACCAACTTTTATTTGTGCATCAAATGAGCCTAACACTTTAAGGGGATGTTTGGCACCATAAGCCAGGAACGTTTTATCTGAAGACTTTTGTTGGTTGGAAACTACAACTTTAGATCGTTTCATGTATACCCAAGTTTTATCATTAATAATATTTGATCTACTACCGGAATCAATAAGTATTTTTATATTTACACCACCTACCTGACAATCTATTGTTGCGTCGTCGTCGATATGGAAAATATAGTCTACAGATGCAGACTCTCTATTTTTTGTGGTTTCTGTCTTGGGTTTCTTAACTTTATGGTTTTCATTTGACGAAAGGTTGGTACTTTTTCTTTTATTGGCCCTTGTTCTACAGTGTTTCTGAAAATGACCTTTGAACCCACATTTCATACAATTCACATTTATAGCAGGGCAGGAACTATTGTCATTTTTGTGACTTTTACTGCCACATCGGCTACAGAAATTTACCTCTTTTTTAGAATATAGTTTTTTTTGTTTTAGTGTCAATTTTATTTAGGGTGGTAGTTGTTGTGCTCTGCCTATCGTGAAACTCGTTTAGCTGCCGTTCTACGGTTTCTAGGGAATTTGCTTCTGCCACGATTTTTTCAATGGTTGCCGTGTCACCAAGTACCAAAATGTTCTTCCTTAATTTGGTCGAGCTACACTTTTCTATTATTTGGTCAATAAGATTTTCGTCTGCATTAGCGAAATTGCATTTAGAACTTTGACGTCTTAGACGAACCAAGAGTTTTTCAAACTTCTCGTTTGGTTCTTCTTTCATTAACCGAAAAATGTGCCTTTCAAATAAATAACTTTGTTTGGGGGAAAAATACTCGTCCAACTTTTTAATTGCTGTGTCATACAAGCCAGTCGCATCAGGATTAGTCACGTGGGCACCAGGTATATTGAAATAAATGTCTTGTAACGCCATGCCTCCGAAATGTAGTAGCATGGCGCGTTTTGTAATTTGAGCATTGGTATTGGTTGCTATGAAGTATATTTCTAGGGCACGTTTCCATTTGTCCCACCGGAAACTTATGGAGGTTGGATCGCCTTCACAATCGAATGGTTCTATTGCTGGGACTTGTGATTGGAACATTTTTGGACGATCTGCAAATAAGTAAGGGAGGGGACTTGTAAGCATACCAATGTAGTAAAAGAATTCCTAGATCGATTTTTTTTAAGTAGCGTAAAATAAATGGTTAATATTAAAATTACCAATATTCATATTGAATAAATTTTATTGGCTTTAGCAAAAGAATTAAGTATAAGCCATTTTATTTTTAGTTGAGATTGACTGTAACCAGTATTTAATATTTTGTGACTAGCAACATCGATACAGAAATAGGGTCCACACTATGCACTAGCTTGCTACATATTTATTATTCTGTGATCCGTACCGTGAAAGCTAACCGTAGAGATTATATACTCCTCGGTGAACGCAATCTCATATCATGTACATAAACAAGCATATTAGTCTGCTACATAGATTACTGTATAGTCTGTCTCAATAGATTACTGTATGGTCTGTGACGACTATAGATGCACACAAAGATCTGTTGATATTTGGTAAGTACTCACTACACTATCTGACTTGATATTATTACAAACAAACAGTCATGACACAAAATATTATATTATTATGATGTGCAGCGATATTAACAAATAATGACACTAAATAAAGAAGATATATATGTTTGTTTTATAACGATAAACAGTGCAAAATACATTCACTTTGTCCTATTTTTTTCCATTATATTACTTATCCATAACGGGTTTGACACTTGTTTAGTTTTAACAGTAACTGGAACATAACTCCCAATTTATTGAAGTGGTACTATGTTAAACTGGTAACACGATTCGTTACACTGTTTGGTTATTTTAACAAAATATTTTTCGATAGGAATCATTAGCAAACAGATTTGGTCAACAATACTTGTATTATAATCATAGTTGAGTACTTTGCAAACACTATTTAGATATACAATAAGGATATTAATTTACTTATGTCGAAATAAGACTCGAAATGAAATGCCGTAACCCCTTTCGTTAAACTAAATAAATGACGAAATGACTTCGATGAGATTTAAACAACACATTCCTGGTCAATCGCCACCAAAGTGGCACGGTAACGGCACAATAAACGACGAACTATTTAATTTTGAATAAACAAGTAATATAAATACTCAATAGTAATATAATTTCAAAGTATCCATCACTTATTTCTTATTTTTTTCTTTTTTTTTTGAAAAAATGTATGTAAAAAAATAAATGTACTGTTTTAATTTTGTTGCTGACCAATATCCGTAAACTGGTTTAAAATTTGACCGAAAATTTTACTTATTGCGCTTTTACTCGTCGCCAATGTGATGTCCACTAATTTAAGTATAGGGTTTAGCAAAACAACCAACTATCAGTAAGTAGGTACACAGCACAAGACAACGTCCACTCGCTACCGATGACAGATCGGCAATGCGAGTGTGGCGCCACCGTTGGTCTGTGTACTACATTTAATTATACATATATCACAGAGATATTTTATTCTACTAAAACATACACTCATTCATTCATATATTCCTTACAGCCTCTCAAAAATCCAATGCTAATCATAGGCCACCCTTATAGAATTCCTTCTTGTTGCCAACCGCAGCTTTCTAATGCTGCTATTCTCCTGATTGGTTACCCATGGCATGATAATATAGTGTACTGGATTCTCTTACGCTGCCACTATACGGCGTACATAAAATATAAGGGATGAATTTACATATGTGCACCAACATACCGGCTCAGTGCGCTGGATTTACCACTCCGTTATGTATCTTTTTAATAGCAACACCGGTAGCCTGGCAGCTCTATAGATGCTGATAATAATTTGACTGCCCCGTCGGTCTAGTGGTCGTTAACGCGTCTGTTGATCATGTGGTCCCAGGTTGAAATCCGACGGCGACGAATTGCGACGAATTTGAATTGCGAATTGCGACGGTATCAACTCAACCCACCAGCGCGGTGCAGTGAATTATAAAGAAATAACATTTCAATTATGCGTGGCTGTTTTTCTTTTACTTTCATAGCCAAATTATTACACTAGGACTAGTTCTTTTGTTGTGGTTCCTGCAGCTCATGGACACCTGCAACAAAATTCAAACAATTAACGCTACAGATGCGTTATCGCTTCTTAGGACTAAAATCGAATGTCTAACAACATGTATTTATGTG